TCCTACCTTGATCGAGACCGGTGTCGCGCTAGTTGATGCCTCCGACGTGTTAGCAGGCTCAATCAGTTTAGGGGTTGGCGCGATAAACGTGCATTTTGCTACGAAGTCTGCCAAGACTTGGGCTTTGATCGCTGGTCGTGGCTCGAACCAGATGTCGTGCTTGCTCATCTTGATGGCCCACTTCGTCAACCTACCAGAAACCTCGGGCTTAAGCAAAACATGCTTCAGAGACTTGTTGGTAAGAACGATGATGGTGCGAGCTTGGAAGTATGGGCATAGTTTCTGAGCTGCTACTACTAGCGCATACGCTAACTTCTCGGTCTACTTCTCTGATTAGTACCGAGCTGACCACCTCGTCACTCGCGGAGAGGTATAATTTTAGCTCGTTACCTTCCTTAGGTCGGGTCAAAACTGGGGCGGTACTTAAGTACTTTTTCAACTCGTCAAATGCGAGCTGACACTCTTCGGTCCATGAAAAATCTTTATTCTTTTTTTATTGCCTTAAAGAAAAGTAGGCACCGACCCGCCGATTTAGACATAAACCGGTTTAGGGCAGCTACCCGACTAGTTAGCCTTTGGACTTCCTTTATCTTTTGGGGTGGTCTCATATCTAATATAGCCCCGGTCTTGTTTGAGTTGGCTTCGATGCCACGTCGGTTCACTATGTAACCGAGGAATTTACCTGAGGTGACCCCAAAGACACACTTGTTCAGGTTGAGCTTCATGTTAAATTTTCTCAAAATTTGAAAAACATAATTTAAATCATCAATCAAGGAATTCGAAAACTGTGTCTTCACAACCATGTCATCAACATAACATTCCATCTTATTACCAATCAACGGCTCAAAAATCTTGTTTACAAGTCGTTGGAAAGTTGCTCCAATGTTTTTTAACCCGAAGGGCATTACTTTGTAACAATACAGCCCTAGCTCGGTTACAAAAGTGGTCTTGTCCTGGTTGGCTATGTACATCCTAATTTGGTTATAGCTGCAGTAGGAGTCTATGAAACTCAGCAACTCGTGCACCGAGGTCGCGTTCACTAGGTAGTTTATTCTGGGAAAGGGGAAACAGTCATTCAAGCAGGCTCTATTAAGGTCAGTGTAGTCGACGCACATGCGCCACTTCTCATTGGCCTTTTTTACCAGCACGGGGTTGACCACCCAGCTCGGGTAATGGACTTCCCTAACGAAGTCTACTGCGAGGAGCTTCCCGACCTCCTCGTCGACTACCCTTTACCATTCCGGGGCGAGGTTGCGTTTTCTTTGTCTAATTGGCATGACTAAATGGTCCACATTTAGTTTGTGAGTAATCACACTAGGGTCAATACCGGGCATTTCTGTTGCAGACCAAGCGAAAACATCTAAATTATTAAGTAAGAAACTTACCAGTTGTGATCGGAGCGGTTCACTTATCAGGGCACCGATCTAGAAGGTCTTCGTCGGCTCAATTTTGGAAACCAGTACATGGACTATTTCCTCCATTGGAGTAGCTTGCTCCTCCGAGTAGTCAGATGGTTGCTCCAGTTCGACGTCATCTGCTTAATGTTGCCACATAGCACTTACGCGACTCCAGCTGGTCACCTCGTACTACCCCCACTCCACAATTCGTCAGGAACTTCATCGACAAGTAATAGGTGGACACTACTGCTCGCAGAGCATGCAGAACAGGTCAAATACCCGCGGCAGATAAGCTCTTCAATCTCGTCATGAAGGTTCCGATAGTTCTTAGTGATGTGCCTGATGTCATGATGGAAGTGATAGTAGACATTTAGGTTCCTGGTTGCCGGATCTCCTCGTAGCTTGGGTGGCCACTTGACAAACGAAGAATCCTTGATCTCCATCAGGATCTCACCTCGCTTTGTATTGAGGGGGTGTAAGATGTTCTTTCAATAGGAGGGGTCATAGATCACCGACCTAACCTAGAACCCCTAGATGGTGACTTGCTTCTTTGATGAGGAGACTTACTTCTCCTCGGGGACTTACTCTTCTTCCACCTATACTTGTTGCTGCTTGCTCCTTCGTCTTCTCTCTTCCTCTTCTCGCCTTGTTGGACTTCTGCCTTCGAGCCGAGTGCTTTCTTTTGTACTCATGAACTGCTCAGTGAGGTCGAGGAACTCCTTGAATGTCCTTGGGTGGTGTACTTCGATGTACCACGCGAACTCCTTGTGTTTTACTCCCTTTCGTGCCGCAGTGAGGCACACGGCTGGGTCGAGGTCTGGTATCTGCTGACATTTTTCATTGAAACAGTTGATGTAGCTCCGAATTGGTTCGTTCTCCCTCTGGACCATGTTCAGAAGGCTTTCTTGTAATTTTGGGCACTTCTTACTAGTGACAAAGTGGGCAGTGAACATGTCGGCAAACTGGGCCCAACTTTTGATTGAGCCTGGTGCTATGTTTCTATACCACTACCTTGCTAGTCCTCTGAAGGTGGTGGAGAAGACCACGCATGTGCACCCTTCGTCTACTTTGGCAAGGTGCATTTGTGACTAGAATGCATCGATGTGGTCATTGGGGTCGAACTTCCCATTGAACGTCTCTAGAGTAGGTGTCTTGAAGCCTTTTGGCCTCGGTGCTGCTAGTATCTCGGGTGACAAGGGGGAGGGCCGGCTCAACAATGCTAGAGCCAGCTGTGCAACTACTGAGCTCACTTCCTCCCTCACCTTGTTCAGTTGTAACGGTTGACTGCTTCTTGGTGGCAAACTATTCCTAGTAAAAGATTGGCGCATCTTGCAACGTATTCGCTGCTTCTTTACTGCTGTTGACCTCTTATCAGGTACTTCTACTTGGGTTCGTTTGAGCCCCGAACTTTGTCGCGAGGTGGGAGTGGGTTCCTACCAGCCCGCGCCTCTCGCCCTGAGCTGGTGATCGTTGGCTTGCAACCCGTGATTGTTAGGCCGCGAGTGTTGTTGCTGATTGGTCCTTGCAACCTCTATCTTTTGGGTTTCCTCTTTGAGAAGGTTGGGGTGTGCGCTGACCGTCAACTCTATCCCGAGGTGGGGCCCGATCCCGAGGAGGGACTAGGACCTGTGAGTTTCCCACACTTCGAGGAGGAGATCGGCATACGCCCTGGTGCTGCTGTTGATCATGGGCCTGATGCTGGTTCTGGTTCTGATTCTGAGGCCGATGTTGATACTGGTGCTGACGCTGGGGCTGCAGCGGTGGGAACTGTTGTTGATACTGTTGGTAGAAGTAGTACTGCTGGAACTAGTGCATCTGCTGCATTTATAGCTGCATGGTTCAAACACTCTAGACCAGCTTGTCGAACTGTTGATGCCCAACCCTAGGAGGGACAACGGAGGGTTCTGGCACGGAGAAAGTGGTGCTTACCTGGGGAAGGGGAACATTCAATGACTGGGTTCAGTACTAGGCCTGTTGTGTTGATATAATTGGGACCCCCAAAACAGTGAAGGGGATAGTAAACTGGCCGGTACAGACCATGGGGAACTCTTGGCTAGTTGAGGTCTGTTCCTATCCCTAGAGGCGGTCATGTCTACGCTCCTTGTGGTGTTGCTTGTAGAGGCCATTGAGTGGATGAGAAAATAGGGAATAGAGATTGGCTTTTTAATCAATTCCCACAGATGGTGCCAATTGATCGTGCGCGATTTGGATGCTCCTAGCTGTAAAGCAACTCGGACGTCAGTTGCCAAGTGGATCGTTCGAACTGCAAGAAAGAGGGAACAGAGAACTCGGAGTGACTAACCCGGCGAGGTCGCTCCGATGCTTAAGTTAGTACTCAATAGGTAGATGCGAGCTGGGAATCAGTAAGTAGAAAGCTAGAATGCACTTAATCGTGCATACCTTATGCTATGGGGTGAGTGCCCTTATATAGTTGAACTGCCGTGAGCCCTAAGGAGACTTCTCTGGGATCTTCGAATAGGGTGGTAGGAGTCTGTTCCACTCCAGGAAGTGGATAACATGCTGGCTGATAAGGCTCATCGTCTCATCCGAAATCGGGCGGAATGAGGATAAGGCCTATAGTTCCGCGTCATGATTCCAGAGAGCTCAGAGATAGTTGGCGATCTTCTAGAATTTGCTACATACCACTTTGCCAGTCTCAGCCATCCGAGATGCCCAGAGTTCGATGCTATCTGAGGTGACTGGGACTCCTGAAGTGACTTGACTTGCTGAGGTGGCTTGATTCTTTGAGGTGACCGTAGTGCTAAATCATTGTCCAGTTGGTGGGCTACATCCACGTGTCCCCTACTTATCAGGTCGGGCCAAATCACCCCTCATCAAAAACATTTCTCAATATTTCAGAAATACCTCATTTATTATTCAACCCAAAACCCATTTTTCAATTCTTTGGAATACTTTAAAGCATCACAATGAGAGCAAATTGTCCCTTAACAAATAAAAATCTTTAGGCAGTTGGGCATTTAAGGGCATTCTAATCATAAAAATATGTTTAATGAGGTTGACTTACCATTTAGGGGTAGTTTGATCATGAAAATCTCATTTATGCTGGCATGGACAATTTTCGTCAATGTACACTCTAACACTGGAGAATACAAACTCACTGACATGGGGTTTTTTAGACATTTTAAAAAGTTATGATGAATTAAAGAGAAATGCTGAAAAATCATGGTGGATTTTAGATAATTTAGTTATTGATTAATTGGCTCACCAAACGGTGTAATCCAAATAATTACTTAAAAAAATGTAAGTGAGTGTAGAAAGGACTCCGAACACTAATAACTATTTTTTCAAATAAAAAATTAAGAATCTAAGAAAGGACTCCAAACACTAAGAACTATTTATTCGAATAGTTAGTTACTCATGAAATAAGTAGTTATATTATAAAAAATTCTAGACCGATTCAGTCAGAGCAAAGTCCATTCGAACGGATATCATACCTTGCATTGGAAATATCTCGCAGAACTACGGAGATATTCCCGATGAAAGGTTGTAAAGGCTGTTCGAACACTGTTCGAACGGGCGTTGCTCCGGACTGTACCGATAGGCAAAAGAGTCTAGATACACTGATACCTGCGGCTGATATAAAAATGTCAGGTCATGGTTCTCAGTTTTGTTGTGTATTCCCCGTTGGGCGTTTCAGCCGGGAAGAAGATAATATAAACCAAGCCAAGGCCGTAGTGAGACTGATAGTCTGACTCTGAGAGACTGAAACATGGCGGGAATAGTGAAGTACGGAATCGTAGGCGTGGGGATGATGGGGAGGGAACACCTGATCAATTTAGCCCATCTTCGGACGGAAGGCGTCGCCGTCGTTGGTATCGCCGACCCTCACGTCCCTTCTCAGAAACTCGCTCTGGATGTAGCCAAATCCTTTAACTGGGCACCGGAGGTATGTATGCATGATGATCAGATTTACAAATTTTCTTTCCGAAATTCCACTTCTACTAAACAGTAAGCACTCTTTAATATCCTCCATATTTGATATTTGGAGCAACTATCTGTCAACAGTCAACAGAGTAGGGTGGGTTTCAAGTTTCAATTTCCAATTTCGGCCATTCTTTAATTAATATAATAAATAAGTAACCAGGCCTCATTCTCTTAATTTTTGCTCATTCTAGCTAAGAATAAATAACATTAGAGAAAATTTCCGATAAGATCATGTACTTTGGCTCGAGTGACAATTTGGTTCCCAAACTTTAAATGGGACAATCAGTACTCAAACATTCAAAATGTGATAATCTAATACCTGAAATTTCAAAATGTGACAATCCAAAACCTATGTTAATCAGTCCGTTAATAAGCCTTTAAGTGACATTTGAAAAGTAAAAGTTGCCCTAATAATACAATCTAATTCTCTTTATCAAGCACCCAAACATTGATAATAAAATGAACAGTCCTAAATTCTAGATTCTTCTAAGTCACCAACTTTTTTGAATAGAAGAGGCTAATATTTGGGACTGTTCAGTTTTTTGTCAATGTTTGGATGGTTCATAAAGAGAATTAGATGCCATTCGAAGGGCATTTTTGACTTTTCAAATGCCACTTAACGGCTGATTAAAGGACTAATTAACAATAGGTACTGGATTGTCACATTTTGAAAGTTTGGGTACTAGATTGTCACATTTTGAAAGTTCGGGTACCGGATTGTTGCATTTTAAAGTTTGGGGACCAAATTGTCACTCGATCCTAAGTACATTGTATTGATCGGGAATTTTCTCTTCTTTTTAGAATGAAAAATCAGCTTCGTAGCACAAAAATTGAGTAGCTTGTAGCATGAAAAATAATCATGCCCCATCTTGCTCATTTCATTCTTTGAGGAAACTTTGTCTACAAAATTGCTGCCATAAATGTTTAATTTTGTAAAAGCACTTTTACAAAAACACTTTTATGAAAGTACTTTTACATGAAAGCACTTTTATGAATCCACTTTTACGAAAGCACTTTTACGAAAGTACTTTTATGAAAGCACTTTTTTTGGAAGTACTTTTACAAAAGTACTTATATAAAAGCACTTTTATTGAAGTACTTTTCAAAAGCACTTTTACGAAAGTACTTTTATAAAAGTACTTCTACGAAAGCACTTTTATAAAAGTACTTTACTAAAGCACTTTTATGAAAGTATTTTTATAAAAGCACTTTTATAAAAACACTTTTATAAAAGCACTTTTATAAGAGCACTTACGAAAGCACTGCTACAAAAGTACTTTTACAAAATCACTATTATAAAAGCACTTTTATGAATACTTTTATAAAAGCACTTTTACGGAGTACTTTTATGAAAGCACTTTTACGAAAATACTTTTATAAAAGCACTTTTATGGAAGTACTTTTACGGAAAGCACTTTTACAAAAGTACTTTACAAAAGCACTTTTACAAAAACACTTTTATAAAGCACTTTTATAAAAGGACTTACAAAAGTATTTTTACAAAAGCACTTTTATGGAAGTACTTTTACAAAAACACTTTTATGGAAGCACTTTTATGAAAGTACTTTTATGAAAGCACCTTTACGGAAGTACTTTTACAAAAGCACTTTTAAGAAAGTACTTTTATAAAAGCACTTTTACGAAAGTACTTTTATTAAAGCACTTTTGTGAAAGTACTTTTACAAAACATCTATGCCAAGTGGTAAACATTGACTGTTGAAGACCTAGGCTGGCAGTTTGTGAATACTGGCATGATTTTTTTTTTTTTTTGAAGAATGAAAATGAGCAACATAGGACATTTGTCAATATGACAAGAATTCATTTTTAGGAAATAAATGTTTGGTTCATAGAAATATTTTCTCATTCTGCCTATTTTTACCAATTCTTTTCCATTTTAGAATTTCATCTTGGGTAAGAATGAGAAAGAATGAGAATTGAACCAAACATGGCCTAAATAGTCTCTGATAAGTAGACTTGGCAAGAAAAGTTTACCCAACCCGAAAGGCGGGTTCGAGTTGTGTTGGAACACAGGTCGCTACGGGTCACTTCTTTTCGAGTTGTCATTGAACTGGGTGGTTGAATTATTCAAACCGTTTGAACCAGTCAGTTATACCCGTATTTTTTACCCGTCTGACCTGTGGGTCACTCCTAACTTGAATATTTAGGATTAGGGTGTAGCTATTGTCAGCTGACCCAAATTGACCCGAAATTACCTACATCCAACCCAACATGACTCGATCCAATTGCCATGGATAAGGATAAGGTTGGTCAGGTCTAGATAATGTCCATGAATGCTAGGCTGACGTTTGATCTCTTTGCTCGATTATTAGTTGGGTGGAGCTAGAACAAGACGAAGTTGAGATCTACACGTCGTAATTGGTCGGACCAAGGAGTGCTGGACTTTTTCTGCTAAGTAGTTTAAGGGCATATGTGCAAGTAAAGATGAAAGGATAAAAACATAAAAAGATGAAAAGATATTTAGATTTTGAATTTTTTACTATATTTCTTTAAATATTAATCATAGAAAATGCTAGTGTAGAAAAAATCTCCAGTATGTTAAAACCAAAGCCATTAACCAATGACAATCATCCACTACCCACGATGCCTGATACCTATAATGGTGGGTAACAATACAGGTGTGACCCACCCTTATTAATGATCATCAGCTCAATTTTGGCTTTATGGTGTGGCAAAAAATTTTCTCTTCATTGCAATAGGACTCTTTTAACCTATTTATATATGATGCTGTAATTTAACATTTTTGGCCTGCACAAAAACCTAAGGCAAGTATATACATCATTATATAGTACTAGTGTAAAAGGACATGTTGTGCACCAATGCAAGTATTAACCATATATGATACATGGTATTTGGATTTAACTTTTATGACCTGTATCAAAACCAAGGCAAGTATTTGTTTTATATAGTATAATAGATAGATAGATAGATAGATGACTAGGTGCATCAGTGCATCCAATTTGAGTCACCCCAATACTAAAAGTGAAATACAATTATAGAAACTGACCCATGAACACCTGTTCTTAATCTTGATGAAGATTGTGTTGTCTAGAAGAAAAGAAGGAAGGAAGAGAGAAGAAAGAAAAGAGATTTGGAGTCTCAAAAGGATGCTGGCGACGCCAACTTTTTACTATTTTACTAGGGCGACAACTTAAAATAAAAGATGCTGAAAGTACCAAAGTACCCTTGCGGTACTAAACTTACAGAATAATAACCTTTCAACATTCCCTCTCGAGTTGGGACATAGATATCAATCATGCCCAACTTGTCACATAAATTATAATGTCGCAAGTGATGTAACCCTTTTGTGAAGATGTCTGCAAGTTAGTCTTCAGAACTGACATAGGGAGTATACATTTCCCCTGTGACAACCTTTTCTCTAATGAAATGTTTGTCAACTTTGATATGCTTAGTAGATAGTAGAAACCACTATTTGCTGATTCGGTCAAGCTTCTTGTGGAAGGAAGAGGTGAAAGCT